CACCCACACCCACACCCACCCCACACCCACACCCACACCCACATCCTGAATCAAAAATTACTTTAGTCAGATTGTGAATGATAATGCATAGATGCTGAACATGGTATGACAAAAGCCTATAAACTATAATTGAGCAGTTCTTAAATTATTCCAATATCTATTCGGTATATTCGGCAAGTATATATCGTTGTTTAATTGTTGCCTATATAAAAACTAAAATAATGTTTATTCTTGTTTCGTTCACATTAACAGCATATCAATCGCATGCATAATGAGAAAAAAAATATCACACAAACGATGTCCTTCGTTTTTTTTTCGTTCTTCTCAGCAAGAGAAAAAAAACGTCATTTTGAAAGAAACGAAAAAAAATATACAAGGTATGAGACAAGATATCTAATGCAAGCAAACTTAAGTCACGGTTCACATGAAACGTAAATGAAAGTGGAAAAAAGTAATCATACCAAAAATACGTTGATGGGTTTTTTCCGTTTAATTTGTTTTTTGACAAGTATACCTTCGATTGATACTAGGCATAGATTGTTATTGACTATCAACGAAAAAAACAAAATATTCACATTTGATATCGTAGAAAAATCTAGAAAAAAAAACAACGTGCATCGAATGTATAAATATAAAAGGTAAATTTTGTCCACACAGCTTATTAAATATTACATCGAAAATGAGTCGACAACGAAGACAACGTATGGCTGAAAACTATTTAGTCATCTGGGTCGATGTCAACACTAATATCGAAAATGAAGATTTTCAACATACATTCTCGCAATTGCGAGGTGTTGTTAATGAAGTAAAGATTTGCATTACACCAGAAGAATGCATTCAATTACTGAATGACAATAAGGAGGAGACATCTTTCGTTATCTCCTCTGGTAAACTTGGACAAGTTCTTGTACCAAATATCCATGGAATGCGAAACCTTGATACAATATACATATTTTGTCGTAACAAGGAACTTTATCGAGAATGGGCTCAACATTGGACAAAAATTAAAGGCGTCCACAAAACAATCAAATCCATATGCAAAGCATTGCAAATAGCTGTCAAGCAATGCAATCAAAATAATACAATGGTCAGTATAATTAGTGCCGATGCAGGTGGTTCTAGCGAAGATCTCAATCAGCTAGAACCATCGTTCATGTACACGCAAATCTTCAAGGAAATACTCCTTGATATGAATCATGGCCAACAAGCCATGAAAGATTTAGTCAAGTTTTGTCAAGAACAATACGAAGGTAACAAAAATGAACTCAAACTTATTGATGAATTCCAGCGTACTTATCATGCAACATTCGCGATATGGTGGTATACCCGCGAATGTTTCACATATAAAATGCTTAATCGAGCATTACGAACGCTCGATGGTGACATCATCATTAGGATGGGATTTTATTTATGTGATGTCCATCGACAAATTGAAGATTTACACAAGATACAGGTCCGCCAATATAATGGTAAGGCCTTTCTAGTTTATCGGGGGCAGGGATTATTGACGGCAGATTTCGAAAAAATCACGAAAACCAAAGGTGGACTCATTTCGTTTAATAAGTTCTTATCTACCAGCAAACATCGAGATGTCTCTTTCAAATTCGCCAAGGATGCCTTAGAAACGACAGATACGATTGGTGTTCTTTTCCAAATGACCATCGATCCCACAGAATCGTCGACTCCATTTGCTTCCATTCGGGAAGTGAGCTATTACCAGAAAGAAGAGGAAATTCTCTTCTCGATGCATACAGTTTTTCGAATTGGTGAAGTTCGAAAAATTGACAAGAAAAGTTCACTTTATGAAGTAGATCTTAAACTTACGGCAGATGACGATCAACAACTCCGTCGATTAACCAAAAGTATAGCAGAAGAAACATCGAGTAGCACTGGATGGTATCGATTGGGTCAATTGCTGCTCAAAATAGGTCAATTCGACAAGGCCGAAGAATTGTATACCACATTACTAGAACAGGCATCGAATGACAGTGATAAAGCACATATCTATCATATGCTTGGCATGATGAAAGATGGTCAAGGACAATACAAAGAAGCAGCTTCATATTATGAGACATCTCTCAAAATCAAACGAAAAACTCTCCCAGAAGATCATCCTTCATTGGCTGCTACCTACAACAACATCGGTCTCGCATATAACTACTTGGGTGAATACCCGAAAGCACTTGAATTTTACGAAAAAACAATTAAAAGAAAAGAAAAGGTCCTATCCCCGAACGACCCCGATTTGGCTGCTTCATACGCCTGCATCGGTTTCGTGCATAACGCCATGGGTGACTACTCGAAAGCACTTGAATTTTACGAAAAAGATCTAGAAATCACAAAAAAACTGTGCCTCCGAATCATCCCGATTTAGCTTCTTCCTACAACCATATCGGTTCAGTGTATAACAGAATGGGTGACTACTCGAAAGCACTTGAATTTTACGAAAAAGCACTTAAAATAAGAGAAAAAGCTCTGCCTCCGAATCATCCAGATTTGGCTGTTTCCTACAACAACATCGGTCTCGCATATAACTACATGGGTGATTACTCGAAAGCACTGGAATTTCACGAAAAAGCAAACCAAATCTACAAAAGAACTCTTCCGGTGAATCATCCTTGGTTAGCTGTTTCCTATAACAATATCGGTCAAGTGTATTACAACATGGGTGATTACTCGAAAGCACTTGTATCTCACAAAAAGTCCCTTGAAATAAGACAAACATCTCTACCTGCAAATCATCCTGGTTTGGCTTATCTATACAACTGGTTCGGAAAGATTTATCGCACCATGAAAGATTATCCAAGAGCACTTGAGAATTTTGAAAAGTGTCTCTCAATACGTCAAAAAGCTTTACCTGAAAATCATCCAGATAAAGCTACTACATACAGTGACATTGGTGATGTTCATCGATTAATGGGTGATTATGAAAAGGCATTGTTATTTCACAGAAAAGCATTAAATATTCAAGAAAATATTCAATGTAATCCTCTCGAATGTGCAACAACATATATAAATTTAGGTGAAACTTATCGAGAAATGAAAGATTATTCAACAGCATTGACATATTTTCAAAAAGGATTAGAAATACATCAGAAGAAATTACCAAAAGATCATCCTGATTTAGCTGTTGTATATCACAATATGGCAAAATTATATTTATCTACTCGACAATATAGTATGGCAATGAAAAGTATTCAACAAACGATTGAAATTGCACAAGAAAAATTACCTTCAACTCATCCTCACCTTTCGGACTATAAAGAAACATTTGAAAACATTCGAAAGAAAATGTAATTTATTCTTTTTGTTTGCTCAATAAATTCATTTCGATTGCTATTCATTTTCCTTTTCGGTTTGTTTCTCGGCTCATTTTCGCGTACGCGCGCGCGACCAGGAAGAGACTCTGTAAGCCTGAAATGGGTACACGCAGAGCGGACCACGCCGGACTGGTAGGGGATGACCGGAGGTATGACGTAAACCCCTCTCATAATTGAAGACCTCCCATGATAGAAGATCCCCATATTAGATGACCCCCCTTGGTCAAAAATTTGAAAAACGTATTAGAAGACTCGGGTTTTTTAATCTACCAAGAAAAATTTTCAAAAACTTTTTTCTGAATTTTTTTCTGTTTTTGAATCTAACTATATCCTTAAAAGGTTTTCAGCCTCGTCCGATGGTTGGCAAAGGGTGTGGGTGGGTGTGGGTGTGGGTATGGAGTGTGAGTGTGGTTGTGGGGTGTGGGTGTGAGTTGATGTGTGGGTTTATCTGTTTCGTTCATCAAGGCACCCACACCCCATACTTCAGATGTGCACTCATCACATTCGCACGATCTCAGTAAACTTTTTTTCATTTCAAAATGATGATCAGATAGGTAAAACGAATGGCTGGCTCCAATCGTCACTCATACTTTGAGAAGTAGAAGAAGAATTTATCATGGGAATTACGCGAGTGAAAAGTGATCAGTCGGATACTGCACATTGCTCAGTCAGCCAACTTTCAGTCAAAGACACAATTCGACAATAATTTGAAGCACAAAAAGTTTGTGGATGTCGTTGGTGTTATTATTACGT